AAAAAAAAAAAAAAAAAGAACTGGGTTATGGCAGCCCACAGAGGAGAGGATTTCACGAAGGCAGGAGTGGCCCACATGCGCCAATGCTGCTGATGTCTTCTCCTCAAGCACTGCTGGCCCTCCAGAGAGCAGATGCCTCAACTGGCTGGAGGAAGACTCAGGGTACAGAATGGCAGGGAGAGAAGCATGACCAGTTTGTAGCTGAAGGCAGCCAAAACAGACAGCTCAACTGAGAAGCCAGGCATAGAAAGAAGGCAAGATCCCAGAGCCATCGAGCCAAGGAAAATCTGCTTGTTTGAGTTTGAAGGAGAGAACAAGGGCCTCTAATAACAGAGAAGAGAGACTGGAAATGCCGGGAGCTCATCAAGCAAGCAAAGGAGAGCAAGGTCCACAGAGAGGAGAAGCCTCACAGGAAGGAATCCCATCAGCGGGCGTGGACACACACAGCTCGGATGTTTACCAATTCAATAAATTTGAGAAAAGATACTTTCAGTACTTGTCAACAAACATTTTTAATTAGAAACTGGAAAATAACCTCTAGTTAAAAAGAAACACTTGTTGGTAACCTTGCAATCTTAAAGAATTCTGTTTGCAACCTTATCCAGTAAGTTATTCTTATTAAAATCTTGCTAAGCTATGGAATGGAAAGTGGATCAGAGAAACTGTCATTAAACTTGGCAAGAGGAAAAAGTGTCAAGTTTCACTACAGTGATATAAATAAAAGAAGTAGATTATCTAAAACAGGCTGAATTATCTTGTTTTGAAAGATCAATTATATGTGCTGTATTCTTTGAAATTGTAATGGAAATGAAAACACTATATATTAACAAATCTTTTTAAAAGACAACAAAAATTGTGTAAGTGTTAAAAGCTTGAACTTTCAAGACAGAGAGACCTGAGTTTGAAACCTGTCTTTATCCCTTGCTTCCTGGGTGACTATGGGCAAGTTGTTTAAACTTTCTAAACCTCGGTTTCCTGTCTTTAAAGTGGAGATATTCATAATGAAACGACACAACACAGTGGCTGGCACATAGATGTTCATTAAATGTCATGTATAATATTATTAGATTAACTATCTGCGGCCCTTAAGTAGATTATGAAAAGCTATACACAGACACTTAAAAGATTGATAACTGTGTTAAATATTTATGAAACATTTTTTTAGCAACCTGACTTTCAGAGTTAGTAATGTCTCAGTTAGTAATGTCTCAGAGAGGTGATATGTGTTGTGCTCTTAAAAAATCTTAAAATCTCTTCAACTCTGTACCATATTCAATACAATTAATGCTAAATATCTTTTGATTGAACTGAGTTCTACCCTTAAGAGATGAGGATGTGAGCCTGGCACGGTGGCTCACATGCCTGTTATCTCAGTACTTTGAGGCCAAGGCAAAAAGATTGCTTGAGGCCGGCAGTTTAAGATCGGCCTGAGCAACATAGCAAGACCCCCATCTCTACAAAACATAAAAAATTAGCCGGGCATGGTAACGCATGCCTGTAGTTCCAGCTACTCAGGAGGCTGAGATGAGAAGATCACTAGAACCCAGGAGTTTAAAGCTGCAGTGAGCTATGATCATGCCACTAATCCTCCAACCTGGGTGACAGGATCAGACCCTGTCAAAAAGAGAAGGGAAGGGGAAGGAAGGAGAGTGGAGAGAAGAGGAGGGGAGGGGAGGGAGAGGAGATGG